GAAATGAAATAAAAGCTAAAGTCTATCTATATGTCAACTTGTCATTTATAATACTAGTAGTATAAAATCATCACAAAAAGCATGTACAATTAACATATATCTTAAAAATGCAACAAGTTCAGCATTTGACAATTGGATTCAGGATCCGAACCAAAACTTTAAAACAAGTTCTTCTTTTTAAGGCTCATATGAGCACAGAGAGTGCTCAAAGAGAGCTTTTGCCATATTGATTTGTCCATCGTCCGTCAGTGCGACCGTCGTTAAAATGTTTACAAACGACTTCTACTCTGAAACAACTAAGTCAAATTTGATGAAATTTTCCTGTGATATTCGTAGCATAAAACTTCACTTAAATTGTTCAAATGGTTCTGCTCCATTCAAGATTGTGGTAACAGGGGCTAAAAAATATTTTAAAACTGAAATCTTTAAGAATCTTTGTCTCTGAAATTGGAAGGCATAAAAATTTCCTTGTGTGTAGCATTATCTAATAAAAACTCTACAAAACTTGATCGAATCATAGCCCCGGGAGTCATGGCTTTTCCTCTGACATGAATGAAATACTTCTTAAAAAAACCTTCAAAATATTTAGCATGAGCCATTGTCTAGTGTATCTGTCAAACATTGTTCACTTTATAGCCCTCATCCAAGAGGGCATGCGTTCCCTTATATGTATAAAGTAAAACTGTTGTTGTATTAGTATTACCAAGTTTGTTGAAATGATCTATAACAGAATTCCACACATTGGTAACACACTAGTAAAGGATAAGTATATCTATTACAGATTACAAGCCTAAACAGAACATATTGGTGCACACAGTCCTAGTAGCAACACTTGTCAAATATTTACATACCTCTTGGCATTAAATTAAGCAAACAATGTCATAAACAACTGCTGATTTGCCCATCATTGCATCTAGTATTATTCAGTTTTCACGACACACGTCGACCAGGTGTTGAAATTTGCAACGAAAAGACGCTTGTTCTTCTTCCCGTAATACATACGATGCAGGGCATCATACGGTGTGTTTAAACTACATACATATGTGTCGTCGGTAAGATCATAAATGCTGACTTTTCCGTTTTCTTTCAAAGTGATAAGCATTTGGTTGTTGAACATACATGTTTTGATGGACTCTGTACTAATTTGTCTCAGGACTACTCCATTCAGATTAAATACTATTATCCTTTCTAACGAGCTAACATAGAACTCATTATGCCCTACTGTTAGGTCAGTTATGTTCTTTTTTTTGCTAGTAGATGAAGTGCTATTAGAAAAATTGTTATAGAATAGAGGCTCATCTTCGTATTGTTCAATGGTTTTCTTTTCTGTCCAATTCAAATTATAAATTTCAACTCGTGTTTTACAACACACAATATAAAGGTCACTTTGAACTATTTTGGCTACTTTAACTTTTGTTGCATCACAATAAACAGGTGTTTTCTCAATTTCCCCAAGCGTTATGCTAGAATTGCCAACAGTTGCAGACTGCACTGTATAATATTTTTCCCTCACGTATAAAAGGATAATCTCTTTGGTACCTTGAACTGCAGACAAGCCAAGCAGTTCATATGTAAGTTCCTTGGATTCCACTGCCTTCAAAGATTCAAGAGAAAAAATTGCGATGAACCACTTGTCTGTCTTTGGATCAGTTTGGTAAGAACAAACAATTGTACCATCGGATACCTCACAGAACTCTTTGTAAAACCGTTTGTCAATGTCTATCTTAACAAAGTCAGCACATTTTGGTTTAACTGCCTCATCGGTACTGAAAAGAGATACCAATAAAAACATCAACAGCACCATGAGATAAAACAATAACTTGGTGACTGTTTAGCATCTTAAAAATATATCTGCATATGTATAAAGTATAAATATTCGTAACATTAGGGTCATGGTGGCCCTGAAATCGTTCACCTGTGTATAAAAACTCTCCATGACAAGGAACAAGTAATATTGTAAACTAATGACAAAAGAAGTTTATAATTGTATCTGAAATAATGCATGTTGAAAAACATTACTAGGTAACCATGTTTTCCGAAGGAAAAAAATGTTTATTAGATTGAGGTATGTCGGCGGACGGGCGGGTAGAGGGCGGGCGGGCGTTAACAATTTCTGTGCGCAACTCCTCTTAAATTTCTTAACGGATTTTGACCAAACTTTCACAGAAGCTTTGTCATTATGTCCCCTGGCGCATATTGTCTAGGTTTTGTGATTGAACAATATTTGACCTAATTATGGCCCTTTGTTTTTTTCCTTATATAGAATATATAGTGAATAAATTCCTAAAGGGCAATTCCTCCTACATTTCTCAACAGATTTTGACCAAATTTTCACAGAAGCTTTGTCATCAAGTGCTCCTACGTATATTGTCGGGAGTTTGTGATTTGTAAATATTTGACCTTATTATGGCCCTTTGTTTTTTTTCCTTATATAGAATATATAGTGCACAATTTCGTCTGTGTTCAACTCCTCCAACATTTCTCAAAGGATTTTTTTTCAGACTTTCACAGAAGCTTTGTGATTGAGCGTCTTGATGCATATTGTTGGGGTTTTGTGATTGGATAACTTTTGACCTAATTATGCCACTTTGTTTTTTTCTTTATACAGAATATATAGTGAACAATTTCTTCTGTTTCGCAACTCCTTCTACATTTCTTAAGGGACTTTGTTCAAACTTTCAAAGAAGCTTTGTCATCAAGTGCCCTGATGCATATTGTAGGGGTTTTGTGATTTGATAAGCTTTAACCTAATTATGGCCCTTTGCTTTTTCCATAAAATTTAATTATTAGTGTAAAATATCCTTTTAATCACAACAAATTTTATTTAGTTATAAAACAGAAACTCTCTAGGTTGTTGCATTCCAGCAGGTTATCTGCCTGCTTTTGGGTCCTGTAGAGTCAAGGTCAAGGTCATTGTTGCTAAAATTGAAAATCTGTTTCCAGTCAGGTCACTGTTACTAAATATAGAAAATAGGTTTCCAGTCAATAACTAGTTTAGAATAAGATAATTTTATGAAATTTGATGTAAAGCAAGTTTTTTTATAAAGACCTCACTTGGGGTGGCTTTTTGGCCCCCTAGGGTCAAGGTAGCAGTTACTAAAAATAGAAAATTCATTATCCATGATTTACATTGCACATAGTTACATTGTTTGTTGCTTGTATTTTATTTCAACTACAACATATTTATCTACAATGGTGATAATTGAAAACCTGGTTTCATGGCCTTGCCATGCTTCTTCATGTTCTTGTTGCTATTGCTATTGCTAAGAGAAAACAACAGTTCCAACAGATGTGTATATATATATAAGGAAAATCAATGACAACCCGGGTCGGGGCCAATTTTGACCCAAGGACTTTTATTTGACACACTTGGTAGACACAACTAGAAGATGTTTCATGCTTAATATCCAAGATCTAGCTCTTGGGTTTTTTTTTTAAATACTTTTTTTTAAAGTTTTCACTCATAATATACATAATTATAAGAAAAGAAATGACACCAGGGGCAGGGCCAATTTTGACCCAAGGGCTTTTATTTGAACAAACTTGGAAGACACACACAAGAAGATGTTTAATGCTAAACATCTAACATCTAACTCTTTGGGTTTTTTAAAAGATGATGTTTTTTTGTTTTTTTCTTTATACATATAATGAAAATCAATGACCCCCTGGGGCTGGGCCAATTTTTTTTTGACCCAAGGGCTTTTATTTGAACAAACTTGGCAGACATTCACTACAATAGGTTTCATGCTTTATATCTAAGTTCTAGCTATTTGGGTTTTTTACAAGAATTTTTTTAAAGTTTTTACCATATACATATTCGGGCGGGAGATGAATGACCCCCGGGGCAGGGACAAATTTTGACCCCAGGGTTCTTATTTGAACAAACTTGGTGGACACTGACTAGACTATGTTTCATGCTTAATATCTAAGCTCTACCACTTTTGGTTTTTTAAAAGAAGACTTTTTTAAAAGTTTTTTATTTCGGTTGCCATGGCAACCAGAGTTCTGCAGGGAATTAAATTCTTTGAAAAATATTAAAAGTTGACCACCAAAGAACCATTCCTGTGAAGTTTGGCTGAAATTGGATTCGTGTTTTATGAGGAGATGTCGTTTAAAATACAAAGTTACCGTCGGAGGGACGGTCGGACGGACGCCAGACGAAAAGCGATCACAAAAGCTCACCATGTCACTTTGTGACAGGTGAGCTAAAACAATAGAATGATAATATTAAAGGAACAATGTTGTGTAGTGTTCCAATTTCCACCCAATAGTAGCTGAGCAACGCACATTAAAATACCACTGAAATGATGCATGATGTTCTTCTGTGTAGTAACTAGCAAGCATGCAAAATGCAGGAAGAGTGTACAGGTATAAACATGATGATTGTGTAATTAAAAACAATCACAATAAAGATATACTATGCTATGACCACCTTTAGTGTGTAGAATTTTAAACATAACATATCTACTCAGTGTGAAGTCAAAACGTGTTTATTTTATGAATATATAAATACTGTGTTGCAATTATCAATATTTTCTAACATCAAATTTGAGCATAATATAAGGCATATAAAAAGGTAAGTACCAATTTGTCGGTCTGACATAAGGTATTTGAGATATATGTAGGCAATAGGCAATTAACAACAAGATCCAATGCCCAGCATGGACAGCGCTCGACTTTTTCGTTTTCTCAAGTCAAACCCATCGTGGGAAAACATAATTTCCTTGTACAAAATACAATCTAAATTTCATAATTGACATTGCCAGTCAAGATAATTTACAATAACATATTTAAATTATTCAATATGTTTACTTTGTCATAAATATTGAAAGTATCAATCAAATCTGTCAATTATAACTAATAATTATATAAATAAATTTATGAAACTTTATGCAAATTCAATAATATGACCACAACGGCAAGGTCACTCAAATGTCGTGGTAACATTTGAATTAATATCAGTTTTGTCATAAGTGTTCTTTTGTCCATAAATAAATTACAAAATTGTGAAAATGGAAATAATGTGACTTTGAAAATCAAGGTCAATAAAGGTCAAGGCCATATCCGTAAAATTCACATGTCACATATCAGTTTTGTCACATGTGTTTTTTTATCTTGACAACAAATCTGTTAATAAATAAGAAAGTTATGTCAATTTAAGCAAATTGAAATTATTGGACTTTGAAGTGACCTTGACCTTTGATCCAGCAGTCTCATTAATCAACAAGAGGGCCATGATGGCCCTAGATCGCTCACCTGACCAATCCGATGACCTACTTTTTCATCCGAGATGACCTATGTTCGAACTCATCCAAGCTATCACCTAGACAAGCATCCTGACCAAGTTTGATGATGATTGAGGCAAAAATGTGACCGCTGGAGTGTAAACAAGGTTTTTCTATTTTTAGCTCCGGTGACCTAGTTTTTCATCCGAGATGACCCATATTCGAACTCATCTGAGCTATCACCTAGACAAGCACCCTGACCAAGTTTGATGATGATTGATGCAAAAATGTGACCGCTAGAGTGTTAACAAGGTTTTTCTATTTTTAGCTCCTGTGACCTAGTTTTTCACCCGAGATGACCCATGTTCGAACTCATCCAAGCTATTACCTAGACAAGCATCCTGACCAAGTTTGATGATTTTTGATGCAAAAATGTGACCCCTAGAGTGTTAACAAGGTTTTTCTATTTTTAGCTCCGGTGACCTACTTTTTCATCCGAGGTGACCCATGTTCGAACTCATCCAAGCTATCACCTAGACAAGCATCCTGACCAAGTTTGATGATGATTGAGGCAAAAATGTGACCGCTGGAGTGTTAACAAGGTTTTTCTATTTTTAGCTCCGGTGACCTAGTTTTTCATCCGAGATGACCCATATTCAAACTCATTTGAGCTATCACCTAGACAAGCATCCTGGCCAAGTTTGATGATGATTGATGCAAATATGTGACCGCTAGAGTGTTAACAAGGTTTTTCTATTTTAAACTCCGGTGACCTAGTTTTTCATCCGAGATGAGCCATGTTCGAATCACCTCAACAAACATTCTGACCAAGTTTGATGATGATTGATGCAAAAATGTGACCGCTAGAGTATTAACAAGGTTTTTCTATTTTTAGCTCTTGTGACCTAGTTTTTCATCCGGGATAACCCATGTTCGAACTCATCCGAGCTATCAACGTGATAAGCATCCTGACCAAGTTTGATGATGATTGAGGCAAAAATGTGACCGCTGGAGTGTTAACAAGGTTTTTTTATTTTTAGCTCCGATGACCTAGTTTTTCATCCGAGATGAACCATATTCGAACTAATCCAAGCTATTACCTAGACAAACATCCTGACTAAGATTGATGATGATTGATGCAAAAATGTGACCGCTAGAGTGTTAACAAGGTTTTTCTATTTCTAGCTCAGGTGACCTACTTTTTCATCCGAGATGACCCATGTTCGAACTCATTCGAGCTATCACCTAGACAAACATCCTGACCAAGTTTGATGATGATTGAGGCAAAAATGTGACCTCTAGAGTGTTAACAAGGTTTTTCTTTTTTTAGCTCTTGTGACCTAGTCTTTCATCCGAGATGACCCATGTTCGAACTCATCCAAGCTAGCAAGTAGATAAGCATCCTGACCAAGTTTGATGATGATTGAGGTACTGCGATCGCTAGAGTGTTAACAACTAAATGTGAACGGACGACTGACGACGGACAATCATCGATCCTAAAAAGAGTCATCTACTGGCCAAGACCAATACACCTTTGAGGT